GCAAAACAAAAAGTTGAACTTTTTTGCTTTGTTTTGGATCAAATGAAACCTTTAGTTCTACCCAGAAATAAAATACTTCATTTAGAAAATTTAACATTTTTAATTAAAGAAAATTAAAGGATGCTTTGAAATGAAAAGACGTTTGAATTAAAAAATAAAACCTTTTTGTTTTGAAAATGTCAAAATTAAACAGGATTTTTTAAAAAGTTTTTTTCCCCACAATGGAAACAATTTGGAGAAATTGACACAAATTCACAAAATGTTTCGGTGTTGCCAAATCTGTTTTTTTGGCAAAAAAACAAATTTGCTCAAAAATTTCTGCCCAGCTCTCTACATAATAGATCTTATCTATTAAGTTAATATTTACTCTGTTGCATATATTGCTATTTATATATTGCAATGCATTGAAAAAAAAAAGTAAGAATTTCATTCTATCTAAGTATAAAACTGTACTTTTGCTATATCCAGGTTTGCTATAAGCAAATTCCACTGTATCCCCTTTCTGGCTCACAACTGCTGCTTCACATGGGGTGGGATCCAGAAACTTTTTAGATGCTTTGTGTCCATATGCCAAAGGACAGAGCACTAATTTATGTGAGATACTACATTTAGAGAGCAACAATTGCAGGTAAGTAACTTAATATATACACAAATGAATTAAATCCAATAGTGCCACCTTCGATGGAGAAATGAAAGCTATGCTGTTTTCTAAACTGTTGACATAACATATATTGTAAGAATTAAGATTTATTTTAAAATCTTAATTTTTTTATTCATTCTTCAGTAATGTCAAAGAACCGGTCATCTAAAGTGTGGTATATGTCAATCAATGACATTAAGAAAGAAAGATTTGCTTGCCAGACTTGATTTTGACTTCTATTAATGACATGATGCTCTGAATTACATTCTTCCTTAATCAAGCTCATGATTATTTCCCTTTTTAACTGTAAATCCATTACTAATGTTATTATAAAATAACACTGAAAAAATAAAATAACTAGCACATCACCAGAAAATACTTCACTCACAAATCAGCATTACACTTTCTTTTGGCAGTTTTTTAAGATGTTATGGAGAAGAAAAGGTAAGCCTATACTTTGAATTCTCAATTGGGCTATGAAATTTAGTTTCATATTTTAAATATAAATAAAAATCTCTATAGGATAATGATAAAAATAAATACTAATATAGCAAAAAGCCTTTCAGCTGATAGGTTTTAAAACTGTCAGTCCTTTTATAGTCCTGTAGAACATCCTACATCTTTAAAAAAAAAAAAAGTAAAGCTAACAAACTAGTTCCTGCCTAATTGCCAAACACTGATTTGAATGAAGCAGTTGAGGTTACAAAGAAATTGTGAATTCTCAGCCTGGTTTCCCTGCTGATGAGCAGGAACTGTCTGTGTAGTTCTCCCAGAGGTGTCAGTGGAATCTCTATAGTGTCACACAAGGGTTCTTAGCTCAGAGTAAACACACTTTCCACAAACTCAGCTGCTTAATCTGTTTGCAGGTTGAATTATAGGATGGGGGTGGATGACTGGGTGCTGGGAAGATGCACTGAGCATTTCCACAGTTTCTTGATAAAAAGGGCATGCTATTGTCATCAAAAGACTTCAACCAACTGTTTAATTTTGCTAGAGGACTGATTTTAGCAATAACCTGAAAAATTTCCCAAGTAGTTAAGCATGTTAAATTGAATGAATTCTTTTCATTATGGCAGTGCATTGGCACCACTATAGTTCAAGTTGTGTCTGCACTTCTGTTCTGACCACTGTGGTTTCAGGGGATTAAAACATGACTGAAAAATATTATCTGGGACAAATATTGGCCTATAAATTCCCAGTTTACAAATAGCAAGTGTTTTTTCAACTAAAATGAAAAACAATAGCATGACAGCTTGAAAATGATGCTAGTGCAAAGGAAGATTTAATAGATGTTTGGACATGGACCATGAGTCCTCTACGTTCTGTACAGCACTGAGCAGTGTTGACACTGAACAAATAATATAGATAGTTTATAATAATTTGTCAAAAATGATATTAAAAAGCAACTCCTGCATATGCACCATATCTATTTTTCATAAGGTTATTTTAATTATGCACTGTAATTTATTATTTAATTTATTTATTTAATTATTTTAATTAATAATAGTCCAAGTATATGCATGCTTAATATACATAAAAGATTAACCCAACAGGGAAAAAAACTTATTGGGTGCCTGAAACGAATTATGGACTAATTTCTGGTTGCTAAGTGAGTATATTACACACACTAGGAAACTTGTTGGCAGATGTGGAACAAACAGGGAGAAATGTTGCCCTGATTCAGGCATCACCACCTAAAAAACTTGTAGGGAGTTCATTTTGGAACCCCCAGGTGTCATACAGGTGCGAGCTGGGCCAAGCAATGAAGAGGTATAGTCTGCACGTTTGCCCTGATCCAGCAATGAGAATTATGGGCAAAGAACTTACAGGTAGAATAAATAAAAAGACAACTCTTAGGATTTTGTCTGTATATACAATATATAACACTAGACCTATGTTTTGATCTCAGAACATTAATATGATCAAGAAAGTAACAAGACGGAACAAAATAGATCACATCTTTCTTCAGAGGAGGTGGGTGAGTGTACTTCACTGAGAAATAACAGTACCTTCAGAGAACAACAGTTTAATCCCCTTTGATTTCAATGAGAGCAAGAGTAAATTTGGAGTCTTCACATTGGAGACTATAAAGTCAGAAATTTAGAATTAACATGCACACTTTCCTCTTAACAGTATACTGTATTCTTTCTGTCTGCGTGATTTATTTCTCACAAGGCCAAAAGTGTCTGTTAGAGGAGCATTTATAACAACAGGTTGGATAGTGTATAATCTTGAAACTTGTGAAACATATACTAAAGCAAATATTAGGAGTATATACAAATAGTTTAATTTAAATTCACAAGTTGAGTTTGACTTGTAGTGGCTGTAATAATTCTATGTACATTATTTTAAAGCTGACTACAAAGTCATATCTTTGTTTTATCAGCTAGTTATTACCCAATATTCAACTATCGCTTGTAACTAACCATTATCCAAATGACTAGTCATTATGACTGTAAGATCTCATGGGTGAAATCCTGGCTTCACTGAAGCCAATGGGAGGCTTGCCGTTGACTTCAGTGGAGCCAGGTTTTCATCCAGAGTGTTGTACAGTGATTGTCACTAAGATATATTTCATATTCCACTTTCACTATATAAGTTTGTTTGGTCAGCTTTGCTGTGTTTCCTCTCTAAAAACCTGCTAAATGGAGCATAGAATTGTCTGTGTACTAACTAGTACATTGTTAAAAGGGAACTTATAATGGACTTCAACAAAGCTGAACTCCAGGGTTCAGAGTTTAGCAGCCTTTTAACAAGAAGTCTTAAGTTATGGAGCACTGTCATTTACCTGAACACAGGGTCCAATCCAATGCCCACTGAAGTCAACAAGAGTCTTCCCATTCATTTCAATAGGATTTGGATCAGACTCAAACACCTGGCCTGAAATGTACCAGGTATGAACCAGACAAAAACGGATATATATGTACATTGCAAATATTCTCACATGTAACTATAAATTGTTGTAGACAGTGTTGTTGTAGCCACGTTGGTCCCAGGATATTAGAGAGACAATGTGGATGACGTAATATCTTTTATGGGACCAAAATCTGTTGGTGAAGAGCTCTGTGGAAGCTCAAAAGCTTGTCTCTCTCACCAGCAGAAGTTGTTCCCATAAAAGATATTACCTCACCCATGTTGTCTCATGTAGCTCTAAAGGCAAATATAATACTGTAGCAGGGATTCCATGTGTTCCAAGAACACTGAAAACCATTCCAACCTAACAGAAAATACTTTAAAGCCTCTTGTATATGTATAAAAGCAGTGCCCATATGACATTAAGGGAAAGCACATTATGAATCCTACTATTTCATTACAATGCTGTTGAAATAATCAGCATCTAGAAACCGTTAACACTTGTAGCCATGGATGTCAGAGTTCTGGCATGCGAGGATTTAATTTTGCTCAGTCACTTATCCAAAATGATCTGTCCCAAACTGAAGAGTGGTTTTACAAAACTCAAAGACAAGTTGCTTAGAATCTAGAGAACATAAAAACCTATGGGGCTGATCAATGGCTGCTGGATCTGGGCCAACTGGAACAGGCAAATCCCATTCAGCTCATTCCCCCCAGTTTCTGCACCCTTAAAGAATACCTCCTTTAAATCCTTTACCAATCCATTTTATCTGATCACTATATCCCTTCCCTGTGGAATACCTGCACTGGACACCCGTCCCACATTTAAATAATGATTTGCAACATCATAGACTAACTCCCATTTCATGTTTGCCCCCAGATAAGCCGCTTCTCCCCCAAACCCGCTGTGGGGAAGACAAAAACTCCCAATCTGGTGGTGAGGGAAAAATTCATTCCCAGCCCCCCGAGAAAGGAGCACTAGCACAGCGCCTATAGAGAATCTCGACAAAACCCAGTCTTTCACCATTTCATGGGTGGGAGGGTGGGTGCTGCTCTGTCTGGTCCAGGTAAAAGAGGGCTTTTTCTCCACTGGCACGGACTTACATAGTCCCCCCTCTCTTTTGGTCACATGGGGGTTGTTGGGTCAGTGCCCCTATGCTGACTTGGTCTACAGCTGCCGCAGAAAGTCACTCCCTAGCTCGCTAGCCCTTAAAGGGGCGCACACGTTTTCCAACAAGTCAAACAACAACCCCTACCCTTTAACGTGCAGTGAGGTCATTCTCCCAGAGGCAGGTTGGTTACACAGTGCTAAGGCAGTAAGCAGTAGTAGTGTTTTGTCACTAAAGCAGCAGAAGTGACTCTTGACTACAACAAGAAGCCAATCTGTGAGAAGCCACTTTTAAACAGCCACTTTTGTGACTACAACCACACTGTAACCATCAGGAGGAATAATGTCTCATTTGTCTGTCAAATGACATTCTTCCAAATGTAAAGACAACTGACTTACGTTTGAACTTTTTCGTTGGCCTCTTGTGAAGCTTCTAAAGCTTGCTGAAGCTTTAATTCCATGTCTGTTCGCTCTGTTAGGGCTTGCTGCAGTTGGGTAGCTAGCTGCTCATTTTGGCGATGTGTGATGGTTACAATATCCTCGCTGCTTTTCAGTGCATCTTCATATGTACTAAGAGTACAGTTAAACTGATCCTTAAGACTCACTTCTTGGGACAGAGATTTGTGTAAACTGGGAAAACAAAAATATACATTTTATTGACTCACAGTATAAGCTTTGAGTTTGAACTGCAAGAATACCACACTTAAATTATATTAATGTATTTTAAAATATTACACGTATATCAATATAAACTAATTCTGGAGCAAGATCTTTATTATAGAACAAAACAAGAAGACTGAAAATGCAGAGATGTAACACTGAGCTGGAAAATCTCTTTATATTAATTTCAAGGAACCTATAAACTAAAAACAACATATAATTTTAAAAGCTTCTTTTCAAGTGTACAGAAGATATTTAAAAATTCCAAAAGAAAAAAAACCGTGAAAAACTCAGATTAAAAAAAAAATAGAATACATCCCAAAATTAACTCTTTAAAAATAAGATCTGTGCCACATTTAAGCATAATTTTTCTATAGGTTGTATGATAAAGTTGAATGTGTGATTTACAAGAAATTGAGTTAATCACCATGAATTATTGAGTGTGCAATGGAAGAGTCAGCTGTTTTCTCATTAAATATTGAAATAAGTGAGTAGAATGAAACAGAGGGATAGATTCTGATGCCCTTAACTCATTTTGAACAGCATGAGTTGCCCCATTGACTTCAGTGGGATTACTTGTGAAGTAAGTTATGACTCAGCATGGGTAAGGATATCAGAATATGGTCCAAAGGGAGTAAAAATACAACTGACTAAAATAAATTAATGAAATTAATGTGCTTTTCTGAAATACAGTTTGCACAGGCTAGCCCAACTCCAAACCATCTCAGTCAACTTTTCAGTGTCAGAAATCTCAAATCCTTCCTGATTCTGGTATAAATAAGGATAAACTGATCTTAAATAAGTTTTTCTATATTAGGTAGAAATATGTTACTTATCACTATCAGATGGCAATCACTGGGCCAATTCCATATCCATAGCTCCTTGCATCATGGTAATCACAATTTCTTGCCAAGCCATCCACAGCCACCATTTTGGATTCATTTATATAATAAGTAAATCACCTTTAGCAACTATTTCACACAGAAAAACCTCTATCAGCCCTGGCTATGCATTCATCCACTGTATTTTATATGACGTTGGGACTGTATTCATGGAGACATTAAGTCATGGAGCATGGTGGTAATAATCCTTCATTGCAAGATCTGGTATACAGTATTCAGCAACTCAGTACCAGGAAGCTACGGACAGAGTTTAAAAAGCAGCAACAAAAGTGTCTATATGTGCACAGCAAAGAAAAACCTGCAGCTGGCCTGTGCCAGCTGACTTGGGCTTTTTTCCCCCCCAGCATGATTCAAAGGCTTTATTTCTTCAATTGCTTACAGGTTGGGATTTCCATTTTTAATATTACATTAAAACAAAAATAGGAGCTTTTCACACTAAAAGGAGAGGGAAAGACGCTATCTTGTATTTCTCCCTGTCCTTGTGCCAGCTGGATTTCTTTGAACTCTTGGAAATAGTGGAAGGGGCAGGACTGTTTCTGTCATCCTGTTTCTGAAACAAGTTGGAGTAGGGTGTGAAGAGAACAAAGGTTAATGTGAAGAGTACCTGTCTGGATATGAAGCCAAAGCAATAGGTGAGCTGCAGCTAAAAGGGTTTTCAATGCAAACCTTACTGTCTCTCCGAGCTCAGATTGTGGGGCTGTTTCATTGCTGTCTAGACTTCTGGGCTCTGGCTGGAGCCCAAGCTCTGGGACCCTCCCAGCTCACAGGGTCCTAGAGCCCAGGCTCCAGCCTGAGTCCAGAAAACTACACAGCAGTGAAACAGCCCCGCAGCCTCAGCCCAGCGAGTCTGAGTTGGCTGGCATGGGTCAGCTGCGGGTTTCTAATTGCTGCGTAGACTTACCTAATGGAGTTGAAGGGACTGATTTATGAGAAAAGATTAAAAGAACACCAGATGAGGAGATTGATTAATAACTAAGGGCTTGTCTACTTAGCGATGTAGTGTGCAGCAAGCCAGGGCGTGACTCGACAGTGCACCAGGTTGCTGAGCACTAACTGGCCATGTGAACCCTGCAACCACGTGCTAAAAGTTCTGTAGTGTGCTTTGATGTACTCCCGTTTCAAATGCTGAGTAGGGAACATCCCTACACTGACCAGGTGATGGACTAGACAGTAGGTCTGCTCCATTTCTATTTTCCATTATTCTATCATTCACCTGTGTGTGAAATGGGACCAAAAGTAGAAGAAATTCAAGGAGCACATTTACAACGAGGTGGTAGAAATAAAAACATTATAATGAGTAGGCAGTTTATATCATAGTTTAGAGTACTTCAGAACTGCTGCCTGTACACTAGAAACTGATGAAAGCTGTTACCATATTGATGAATATGACCTGAAGTCATGACAGAATGATGACTATGAAAATATCAACCATTCTTTAAAGTGTATTGTCCTAGTCTCCTATCTGAAATGCAGGGTGAATAAAACACGCCAGCCATACTTTGCATCCAGGGTGCTGGTATGCAGTGGCATATTTATTTCCCTTTCCTTTTGTTAAAACATTTATACAGAAAACATCCCCCCGTCAAGCTATATAGCGAAATCACATACAAATTAAAATATAATATACATGCATAAGTAAAATATGGATGAATTAATAGAAATTGAAAAGTTAAAGGTTAGAACACAGGTACGTCATTACACCTAGCACCTGAGGTTGTTTGAAAATGGTGTGAAGCACCTATTCAATTAAATCACGACATTTTGAATATATCCATAATTTATGAAGGGACATGACAAATCCACAGAGGAGAGGCATTAAAAAAATAAAATCATATTAGTAGCTGCATATAAAATATATTGACTGATGTTTTATTCTAGTGGGCAACTACTGAGACCTACTAGAAAAAGTAAACAACAACATTTGGAAGTAGTGCTAAAAGCTGCAAATTGAGGATGCTGTTGCTCATTTTTATACTCCTCCACCAAGATTTTCAAAAGTGGCAGCCTTTAAAGTTAAGCCCCTCAGGGTATGTCTACACTGCAATTAGACACCTGCGGCTGGCCTGTGCCAGGTGACTCGGCTCGCAGGGCTCACGTTAAGGGGCTGTGGTGTAGATGTTTGGTCTTGGGCCGAAGCCCAAGCCTTGGGACCCTCCCACCTTGCAGGCCTCTAGAGCCCAGGCTCCAGCCCAAGCCTCGATGTCCACACTGTAATTAAACAGACCCTTAGCTGGCACGGACCAGATGCGGGTTTTTAACTGCACTGTAGACATACCTTAAGTCAGTATTTAAGTACTGCCCCTGATCTATGTCTGGGCCCCCTAGATATTATCATAATTATCATAATCACTCCCATAACCTTATTGGTCGTTGGGGCACCATCAGTGATGAGCAATCAACCAATTGTCTCCACCCCTGACAATTGTGTGTCAGTGCTTGAGTCTCCATGGAGTCCATTCCTGTCCACTCTTTTATGTCCTGTTATGGACGGGAAAGTCCATTTCCTATCCATGTCTTCTTCTGTCTATCTCTTCTTCTTTTCCCCATACTGTCCCTTGGAGGATGATCTTGGATAGGCCAGATGATCTTGTTACGTGGCCGTAACACTTCAGCTTGCACTTCTTCACGGTCGTCAGGAGGTCTTCACATGACCCAGCGCATTGGGTGATGATGTTGTGGACCTCTTCATCAGTGATGTTGTTGAAGTAGGAGCTACCCAGGATTTTACGGAAGCATCTCATCTCTACTACCTGTATTTTCCGTTCAAGTTCTGCCATAAGGGTCCATGTCTTGCACTCATACAGAAAAATGGAGATGACCAATGTGTGCAGCAGTTTCAGTTTAGATTCCAGGGAGATGTTCTTATTCCTCCCAAATTGGCTTTAGCTTTGCCACTGCTGCTGCTGTTTGCGCAGTTCTTGCCTGATTTTCTGCCTTGGATCCTTCATCTGTGATGACTGCCCCCAAATACTTGAACTGTTTCACTGTCTCCAGCTCTTGTTCACTGGCGGTGATATGTGAGTTGATCCCATCACGTTTGTTTGTCATCAGCTTGGTTTTCTCTGCACTGATTTCCATGACATATTTTGCGGAAGTTCCATCCAATCGTTTCACAAGGTTGGCAATTTCATCTTCGCTGCCTGCCAGGCCATCAATGTCATCAGTGAACCGAAGATTTGAGATTGTTCGCCCCCCAATGCTGATTGTGCATATGTGATCTTCCAGGGCATCAGTCATTATGAGCTCCAAGTAGATGTTGAACAATGTGGGCAAAAGAAGGCAGCCTTGCGAGACTCCAACAGTGGTGCGAAACCTCTGTCCTGTTGTGCCACTGATGAGAACTGCACTGCTGGCCCTGGCATATAGTTGTTTAATGTTATCATAATACAAATAAAATAAAATAAAACAAAAATGACAACATTTTGGGGAATCCTCACCTGCCCATAAAGGGGAGATTTAGAGTGTTTTTGCACTGCTGTTTCATGGCCATCTATCTAGCCCTATACCTATTCTACATCAATGCATTACCTTTGTCTTATTGATCGCTCTATTTGGCAACATCCAGGAGACCTGAGATCTCAGTATGTTCTTTAGTCTTGATAACATTTTTGCATTTTGAACTTTGTGAAGAGAGTCTTGAGATAACAAGTGATTAGCTAAGGTAGGATCTGAGGAGCTGATGGAATAGTATCCTAAAGGGAGTAAGTCTCTCTGATAACTTTTTGTGACAGATTTCTTCAGGCCTGAACCTACGAGGCCTACAAGGCACATGCATCTGAGCTATTTTTGCTGCAAAAGAGGGTTAAAAATTGGTCAAATTTGGATTATTAAATGTAAGTATGTTTAATTGAAAGTCCAGCAGCCGTTAATCAGTCACTAGAATGGACTCCTCTGCCACAGTCTGGTATCTTGGACTTCTGCCACAGATAATCCTCTGTTCTTGTAGTGTTCATTCCATAGTGTGCAATTAGCCCCTTTGAGAAAGCTTTGTCTTCCGCACAGACAAGCTTTGCCTCTATTGTAGAAAGTTCCCATGTGACATAGGAGTGAAGTTGTTGACCACAGTCT